CACTGTAACTGATGGCGTTACGGTAACAGATGTATAATAATATTAAGTAAGACATTAGATTCATCATGAACAACAGACATAAACCTTCATGTACTTACATACCAGTACATGCTGTTAAAGTGAAATTCTCAGGGTCGCACACCCATATCCAGGCATTTTCACTGCATGCTAACCATCACAGTGAAAACAAAGGCTGAAAATTCCCAGAAAATGGTACTTAGGAATGTTTTTTGTGACTCCCCTGAACAGTGTAACAAGATTACTCCTACATGTGTAACATATATAAATTTGGTTACCCAGGATTACTTCAAAGTTGAGTTTGTGCTGTTTCCACCAGCAGTGACGTTGGGGTCGCCCCAAGAATATTCACATAATTCAATTTTATCAGATATGATGTTGGAGATATACTCACTAAGTTTTAAATTTACATTTTACGTCACTGGCAGTGACGTTGGTGTTGCCCCAAGAATATTCACTGGATTTAATTTTATCAGATATGATGTTGGAGATATACTCACTAAATTTTAAATTTACATTTTATGTCACTGGCAGTGACGTTGGTGTTGCCCCAAGAATATTCACTGGATTTAATTTTATCAGATATGATGTTGGAGATATACTCACTAAATTCACTTTTTAAATTTAAAATTTTTTTAATTCACTTCATACATTTTATGATGAATTGAATACTCAATTTGTTTTATAATGTTATCATACACCTTGTATTGCCTGGCCTCTTAACGCTATGGGAAGTGCGCCCTCACATCAGGGCAATAATTTCCTGTATCACACCCGGACCAGCGCCTCCAGCTTTCATCAATCAAAACAAAACATGTCATTTGAAATTACATTGTGTGTTTGTCATGCCATGGTAAAATTGTAATTGCACCTATAAGGTGTATGATGAAACCTTTATGTACCGGATACGGCCGTCATGCATGACCAAGATATGGGTCCCATATTAACAAAGATTGCTGTGCAGAACAACGCATACAAAACAAGACAGTTCCAGGGTTTAACTTGGTAATTTCTCCTTTGAATCCAAATATTATAAGGAGTCAAATTTGGTAACATCCTGACCAGATTAAACTCAAATTCATGCCACAGAGAAATTGCAAAGGATTGTGAGTAAAATCAGTGTTTATCTATCAACCATGCCTGCCCATCAACAGATCGAGAGAATGTGGGTTTGACTACCACGGACGGCTGCACACTCAGTAGTGCAATACAAGAGTATATTCTGCCCAACTGCCAGGCTCGTGGCATTCACATTGGGGTGAATGGCATCCTTTTGGATAAAGGGACGTAATGCTGACAGTCCCGCGTACTGTTCCTATAATCCCCATTGCATGTAAAAGATGAAGTGGTACTTGTCACAAAGTTTCTGCGGGACAGTTGACAATCTCAATACATGTGAATGCTATGAGTTGTGCAGTCCTTGATTTCCATGTCTGTAAACTTGCCCTGAGCCTGATGACTAGAAATCATAGTATGATGGGTAATATGCATCTTCAATCCGATAAATGCTAGTGAATTATATAAATACATGTAATTAAATCTCACACTTGCGTCGCACACATGCACAAACGACACTGCCTTTTAATTCAGTGCATATAAAAACATCAAAAAAAAAAAAAGATATACGCAACAAATAATTAACCTCTATAAATTATTACACAAAATATTAATCTTTTCATTTAAACAAAAATAAAAATTAAAACATTTTTTTTTTAATATGACATTTTATTTGAAAAGGTTTTTTTAATAAAAAGCAGTCTGCATACTACTTACTAATACCCAAATACTTGATAAAAACGAACAGTGCATAGCATTTTAAAACTTGCTTTGTCTTCTTGTTTTTCGTAAAAGAAAAAAAAATGTGATAAGAAAATCATGAAAAACGTTTTGGGATCCATAGTGACGTATAAAATTGTGTAAAATATAAAATTTAAATACACGCTGTGTGGCGACCGTATCGCTATAACCACATTAAGTGTATGTAGTTTTAATTGTACTGATATATCGTTATTGAGCAGTTTATTGATAAATATCACTGTACTTAACCACCTTCACAAACTCTGGGAGGGATACAATAACTGTGTAAATTCATGTTTACCTTTCGACTTGAGCTTGATTTTTGATTTTTTTAGGAGGATACCTGGTAGTAATGTTTTTGTTGTTGTTATTTTGTTTTGCACTTCTCTAACAATTTTCTTGTACAATTTAAAGGCCCAATTCACTTGCCCTAGGCAAGTGTGAATTGGAGGTGTGGCTAGGCTAATGAGTGTTGTTAATCACTTGTATAGCCTATGACGCATCCTGTTTCAGCAGTCCAACATCACATGACTTTGATTGATAGTAGTTAATTATTCGAGATTAGTTGCACGTCCCTTTTCCCGGTTCGTGTTTTTGACTTTTATTCGCCAAAATCTCAGCTCGTACACTATTTATTGTCATAAATACTACACACAGTCACTGCTGTGGTATTCATAGTCACATGCATCCATTTTGGCACAACACAATCGACCTGTAAGTTTGAGAAAACATGTCTTTACCGGAGCTTGGCTGGAGCTGTTTACTACATTGTGAAAAGCAAGGAAATAATCGCTATTGTTTAGGAGCGTATTTATAGTATACCTGGGCCTTTAAAATGTAACTCTACCCCCCTCTGTTACTTCTAATCATCTCCTAATCAAATAACAAAACAGTGTAAATATTGTGACACTAATCATGTTATCAAAACACATTTCTGGCCATGAACAGCTGACAATATACTTTAACAAGACATCAAATCTGAAGAAATTGACAAGGTTGCAACCACTTTCTATTGCTGGAGGCAACTTGCATTTTATGCATTGAGCCAGGTTTTATTGGTTAATTACATAGCATCAGGTGGGCATCAGGTGGGCATCAGGTGTCAATACAGAGACAAAGGACACCTGGGCCTTCAACTTTCAGACTGAATTAATGACAGGAGTCATTCTATCAGAGGGGCATAATTCCTTTGTAATTTTTATATATTAAACCCACATCCGTTACATTAATTACCTATATACTTTTTCACAGTCATGCTTTTTACATCCTTAATAAAACAAGCAATTATTTGGGAGTTGTGTTGAAGTGAAATGAGCAAGAGGACATGGAATACATTCTAAACAGCAATCCTCACATCCCTCTAATTTAATGGTTGATTCCTATTTAGCATATCTGTCTATCTGTGGATGAAATCTGTACTTGTTTCACTTGTGGCACATGAGGGAGTTCAAGTCTGGAGCAGCTCAGCATCAGTTCTTGCAGAGCTGGATTAAGTGTTTTTTCACAGTCTCACAATGGAGAATCTGTATTCTAGGGCTGGTAGTGGAGGTAAGCAATACGCAGGACTGTGAACTTTTCTAGATGGATTTGTGGGTGGGCCTTGAACTTTTTATATCAATAATTTCATGTGTTTGTTTGATATCAGAAAGATATTTTAAATTGGTTTCTTCATTATTAATTATAAGCTAGCAGTTAATGAACTTAATTATGTGGCCATGCAAGAAATCAAGAAATGAACAACCATGAGCGGGAATTACAATGCATATCGGGCGGATAAACTAAACAGCTGGTGTTCATGAACATGAGTGAGCATAGTAGACAGTTTCCAACCTGGTGAGCCATCCACACACATACCATGGAACTATAAACTATAGTTCCATGCACACACATACACACCGGGACAATTAGTTGCATTCAATTGTCTATACCAATATGTGTTAATTTTCACCACACAATGTTTTTTTTGTCGTTAAATTCTTAACTCCCAGTTAACATTACAATGTGTTAGACATGAATGGATGCATGCACAATACATTGGAATGTTAAAATAAAGACAAAAGGAATATTGCGTGGGAAAAGTTCACACAATGGAGGTAATTGGATTCAGTGAGCACAAGTTATCCATGCAATAGTACATACTAAGACCTTTATAACATTTTGATAATGTGGAAGATGCACGTTTTGTAATGCTATCTCATGAAATGTGTACAACTTCCCAATGTGTAATTGTTTTTTCACTTGTGCAATAAATTCAGAGGTTCGATTTATGTAATTTTTAATTTCATAAATTCTTTAGTCGGATAAAGAAAAAAAAGATCCTTGCAATACTGTAAAACAGTTTATTTTCACAGGCGTTTAATTTCATTATTTTGATGTTTGAGTGATTTTTTTTTATGACATTGGCAGAGAAACAATGAGCTCTATTATTTTACGTGTTTGCATGTATAAAATTCAACAAAATTAAAAATCCAGTGATGAACTGTAATTCTTCATTAAAATTGAAATCTGTAATCTCTAGCAAGTCATTGAGCTTGCAAGGGATGACACATTTGAATTTGGGGGGGGGGGTACTTTTTCACACTATGTCGGGAAGTTTTTATTTCCATTATTTTAGATAATAAGGGTTTTTTTTGTTTTGTTTTTCTTTTAACTGTTGTTGAGAATTTTTTATTTCTTGCTATTTTACCGGGTATACTGATTTTCTAAACTCCTCCTCTCCTCAGATTTCTATTGTTTCTAAATTCTTGTGTGTATACATGTATACACATGTCTTGTGCTTATAATTGATTTTGTTTTTAATGAGACACTACTTATCCTTGTATCGCCATCAAGGGTGTACTGTCACTAAATACTACTAGATGTAGGGGACAGTAAGTATAATTCATGAGAATTCGCATTGCACAAGACTATATATACTAAATGAACAATACATCAAGTATTTACTTGCAGCATGGAGCTAAAAACTCAAGGCTTGCAGGTAGTAATGTAAAAATAAACTCCAAAACTATTGCATAGCAGGTAGTTAGTATGAACTGAATATCTAGTGTACATATTTACAACAGGAAACCAACTGCCCTTGTAAAGGGGCACTTCCAGTTAAGCCTAATCTCACAACAAATTTACTTTTTGGATTAAAATTACAATGGATAACAAAAGATGGATTAACTTTGTGAACAACATAAACAATACTAGTAGTGTCCCATGATTCTTTGGTGCAATCCATGGGATTGAGAGATTCCCCTTTAATGTAATCCTGTATAATGCTTGTAGAATAGGATCTCCAGTGAGAGTCAGTTTCTTCCTCAATTCACATTAATTCTGGTGAACTTAGTCGTATTTATGAAAATGTTTTGTAAAACTCGTTCTAGGAGAAAACAGAGTCTGTCATAGTGGCACTTCCACTGAAGGTCAACTTGGCTGTTACTCTGGTTTATTCAAATTCCAGTCGTGTTTTCCTTACATAATTGTTTATATTTCCAAAAATAAATGATGGTAGCATTTTTGATTTTAGGCTTATTGAAGCCCCTCCTATAAAAACACTAAGCAAATGGCCCAAGGCAACAATGATGCGTCTTCAAAGCGTATTGACCAGTATAAAACTACAACTGTATTTGAGTGGTATGCGGTTTCTTTGTGATTAATCAGTCCCTCTATTCCGGGTCTGGAAACGACTCTTTTTTTTTTTTTTTCAAACCTCATTGCGGGTAAACAAACCATTCACACCCGGGCCGAGGGATTCAGGAAGTCAAACAGATTACAATATCGTCAGAATATTCATTAAAATCGGAAAATCTACCGACATGCAAAGCGATACCTCGTTGTATGACTTCACTTTGACCTCAAATTCGGGCAACTGTAAACCAAATGAGCACTATGAAATTTGGGGTTTTTGAATCCTGATATGCATCAAAACCATCCTACCAACTCATTAACATCCAGTTCCTGCCATGTACAGATTAATATTGGGAATTATGTTCATCTTCTAGTTTTAATAGGGAAAAAAACTTTGCGTACCAACATACTGATATCACTAAAAGATTCTTGTCAAAATGGTGTCGTTCACGTTAACATGGTCGATCCAAAAACCTGTGATATTTCCGATCCTTGGGGGTACATAACAGTTCAAGTAAATTGTACAACTATTGACTTCATTCGATGCAAAAGTATAAAACAATGCTTCAATTTTTGTATATAAATAATTTTTTTTAGCACTGAATGGCATACATTGTCATTTCAAAATGTCGCCATTTGCATTTACGATTGAAAAAGCATTTGTAAAAATCACCTAATTTAACATTAATAAAATGTGGTGTGACACATACATAACAAACAAAATTTTTAATGTTTCGATCATAAAATGTCCAAATCGAAGACAAATATTGGTTTCACGCTGAGAAGTAGGGTAATAAAATAATAATACTAATACTAATACTAATAATATTAATGGAGTCGCACCAATCACACCAAAATCCAACACAATTTCTGGGTAAAGGTATGAAAATTTGTTGTGAAAATGTGTCGATGCTGATAAAATAGATGAATTAATGAACTATTCGTCATCTAAAATATGACCTTATACAGATATCCTGGTTAAAAAATCGTGTGAAAAAGCTCGAATAAACAACTCTAAGTTGTAAAAAAAATGTGCGTAGCACTGACGATGTCAAAAATAGTGACAGTCTGTGTACTGATCATGTGACAATGCTTTGCCCATACCCACAATGTGCCTTTGCCAGGGAAGGAGACTAATTCACACCTTATACAATAGCAGTTACCAGACTGGGGATACAGGGACTGTGGATTAATGTATAACAACTTTCTGTGTTTGTTTTGGTGGAGTTTGTTTGGAAGTGTTAACAATGGATTGTTTTTGTTATCACATGGGCTGCCATTCAGTAGCACACAACACCGAATTACCAAATACTAGGCTTTGATCTGAAACTGCAACATTTTAATTCAGTCAAAACTGTGAATAGCGTCACTGAAACAGATGAGGGTTAAGTCATGATGCGATAATAACCCAGCCTGTATATAGTTCATTTCCAAAAGGACTCCACTATTACAGCAGTATTGAAGTGCAACTGATACAGGAACATGCACGTATGTATGTATGTATGTACCGGTATGTATGAATTGGTCAATGTACGTTGACCATGTCTGGATATAGATTGACCAGAATTAGCTATTTGCACTATCACTATATCATTTATTTTTAAATTATTCTTTAACACTTATTTACCATTCCACTAGCAATTCCAGTAATCTTAAATTACCCTGCAGTACTCGTAATAATACCCCCTCACTCATTAGCAAATAACAAATAGACTATACATTCCTAGATATACTTTGGAATACTTTATTTGTGCTAGAATTAATTTTCGCTGAAAAGGCTCATTGGACGTTCTGTATGGAATTTATTTTCACTGATTTTTGATGAGTTGAATGTGAAATATTGGAAAAAAGTATATTCACTGGATTTTATTTTCACGGAATCCTCCTTTCCGCGAAGATAGTGAAAATAAATTCCAAGAGAAAATAAAGTATTCTACAGTATTCTGTAATGAATTCCAAATAATAAGGGGTTCTAAAATTCTCTAATTTTCGAAAAAACGTATTTAACCCCATTGAATGCATTGAATTTCTTTGCTATTTAAATTTTCATGTATGAACTTCAAAAGTTATCAGTCTGTAGATGCTACATGTGTATCAACAAATTATAAAACTAGCTTTACTTTTGGTATATAAAATCATGACATGCGACAACTGTAAGAACAATTAATCTTAGTATCATAACTGAAATCTGTTCAATGCTCATACCAGAGACCAAGGCACTTTTCAAAATTTAACACTAATGAAGAAAATAAGGTCATACTGAACACTATTGAGCTTCCAACTAAAATCACTGGATAAACCCAAGTCAATTACCAGTACTCGTGATGACAGTTTATTACCATTTCTATTTATTACCAAGCTCTGTTATTGAGAAATTTAATATAGGAACTTTAATCCTGTACTGCATGATAACTTCATTACTTTAGTTTATCCCATTTATATATAGTGCTGTTCAGTTATTTTTAGAATCAAATATTTCTTCAACAAACTAGGTCATGATAAATAGCGATTGATAAGAGATTCATGTTTGAGAATGATCAGACTAAAATTACTCAATTTATCATGACAGTGCACTGCATATTACAGGCATGGGTTGCCCCTATACTATCCTATATCCTGTAGGAAAGTAAAAATTGTTAGGCACTTTTAGGCGTTTGTTTTAAGGGAAAGCATGCACAATTTAGGTGGGGGGGGGGTACATAATTTGACATGTACCTGCATGGCATTGACAAAATAGGTGATTTGCTCTAATTTGGTGATTTTTTTTTTTTCAATTTCTTGTTGAAAACCGCAAGTCCAATTGCTTTGATATTACATACCAGTATATAAGTACTACATATGGACCCCTCTCAGACTTGTTCATTTTGTGATGACTTTAATTCTTTTAAACCTCAAGTCCAATTGCTTTGATATATTGTACATATAGGTACTACATGTGGACCTCTCTCAGATTTGTTCATTTTCTGATGAAATCTTCTGTTCTTTAATTGCCATGTGCATTGCTAACAGCGGAGCCATCTCAGCCAAGAGGCTGCTTGTTTTTTTAAAGTTCTGGGATGTGCGCTCAAAAGAAACTGAGATAATTGCTAATTTGAATAACAATTCTCTCAGTAAGAAGTTTGCCAATGCTCATAATTAAAATGGCTGTAGCAGTTCCGAATTTAAATGTATTATCGTTTTGTTAAAAGTTAAATATAGTGCATAATATGTAGATCCCGTCACTTCTTTTTTCACCATGTTTTTTTTTTATTATTTATGTACAGCCTTGCTAAATCTTGCTAAGCATTCAAAAGAGAGAATGTTTGCACCTGTTATCTATATTTTAAAATTGTTTTTTGAGTATGTTGCACTATTCACAATTCTACAAAATTTGAACAGTCTATAGCCAAGACTGTTTGGATAATAAAAAGCCGAAAAAAAAAAATTTCACTCCCAAGTGCCCACGAACCTGCATCTCTACCTTAACACCATGTTAGGTCATTGACACGCGTCTTCTGCTCAGCTGTCTACTGAGCAGAGCTGTTTACATTGTATATTGCATATATCAGCATAAACTTTACATTTTCAACTTCTTCTTGAAAACTGCTAGCTCAATTGCTTAATATTTTATATGGAAACATATTGAGTGGACCTTAGTCAGATTTGTCAATTTTGTTTATTCTCTATTTTTGTAGTTTTTGGTAATTATACAGTGGAGCTTTATCAAGTGCTGCTTATCAACCTTGCATTTTGCTACACGAGTGTATAATTAAACCTCGAGCCCATTAGTGAAATAATACAGGTAGCATGAATACTTAATAGATTTTATTTATTTCACAGGAATGGTGACAAACATGTCTGTGATGCTATCAGAGATGACTAAAGTTCTTTGTGAAACGTGCAATAAACCATGTGAATGTTCAACACTGAATAATAACATTTTACAAAGGACTTCAAATATTATGGTGGAAGATGACACTGACGATGAGGAATCTATCATCCCAGCGTTACACAAGCTATGTTACAGTGATGATACGACGATGAATTTTTCTAGTTATGCAAGTCACGATGACAGTTCATCTGATCTTGAGGAGGAACTTGCCAATGACCTCACCAATGAGGTCTCGGACGTCTTCGACGACCTCGCCAATGAAGTCACTGACGTCTTCGATGATCTCACCAATGGAGTCTCAGACGTTTTCGATGACCTTTCTGATGACATCATCAGCATGCTGACCAATAGAATCCAACATGAAGAAAACGATGACAATCGCAACTATTTAAGCTTTGCTGATGAAATTAAAATCACACCTTTGCCGAAACCAGAGTTTCAATTCGTGGATAATATTGAAAATGATTTGAATAATGGTTTGACGCAAATGAACACTTCATCAGAGAATGCGGAAAGTGATCTAGACAAACTTTCAGAATTTACAAAACTGTCAGAAAGCATCAGTAGTATAAGCACTGAATGTAAATCTAACTTTGATTGGAGCCCTCAACGAAAATTTCACAGAAAAAACAGCTACAATATGAGTGATACTTGTCCCTCCAGAGTGACCAGTACACCCCTTCAACACATTGGCCCATTCCACATGACAGAACTTGGTTCACAGGATGAAATCCTACAAGGTAATTGTAATAATTTTGATGCGCACAACATGAACAATTCTATCCCCCACCCCAGAAGACTACAGCTTTCTCACTGGCAACCAGCATGTCACATTTCTCGTCCATCCTACAGCTCAAAAACGAGCAGCAGCATAAGCAGCAGTGGTGAGCTGTCGCAAAATCAAGAATTTCCGTACATATCATTTGACCAAGCCCTTGATGTAGCTGTACAAGACCTTATAAAGGAGAACGAGAATCAAATACAAGTGGTATCTTTACTTGAAGACGAAGGCTTTGTGGAAAACTTGAAATCCGACGACACATTAGCAAAGTCTCCTTATAAATCGTGGTGCAAAGACAGACTGCAACTCCATTCATCATGCTCATTGTTTCCAGCTCAGGCAAGTTTTTATGTTCATGTTTCTTTGTTGTGTCGCGGTCAAATGTCGTGCATCAGATGCCGATTCTATAGAATGTTGAATCAATACAATGTTATAGTTTACATAATTGGCCAGACTTTTCTACTTACCGCCATGAAATCGGTCAACCGCATACTACAACAATGCAACATTTGTGATTAGTATACATATGGCTAGATTAAAAGTATTCAGCACTTTTCACTTTTCATGTTTAATAAGCGTCCCATTTGACTTGCCTGTATGATGTGTATAAAACACACGAGTTTGTTTTCTCGATACAACTGTGGGGCTTTATAAAAGTGTCTTGGATTTGCCGATTTTTTTTTTTTTTAGTAATAAGTGCCATTTTGAAATAGTTTAATCTCTTTCAACTGGGTTGGTTTTAATGGCCAATCGTACTTAGAACTATTGATATAGAATGATATACCGTACTTAAGTGAGGTTTGTGATTCAGATTGTGGTCAAAGGTTGTACACTTCCAAATTTATATTGGTGATGCAAATGAAGTAATGCCAAATAATAAATTCATATTTGTAGAAATGGTATTACAGTTCATAAATTCATGTTTGTAGAAATGGTATTATAATTCATATAAAAATTCTACAAATTTTAACAATTGGTATAAGAATATTTTTGCGACTCATTTCCTGTCTAAACATAGAAACGGTCTTATCTTAGATGAGCACATTTCTTATCAGTTGATATGTCCTTGTATTTTAATAACATTGCACAATGTTATTTCCCTGTGTTTTCCCTCACAATATTCCATCATTGCTTGGACATCAGGTGTTCACTTTTCAGAACCCCAAAAATATATAAATAAGGAAATAAATAGTAAACAGACAATTAATTTACAAAAATAATTTGGTTACTTTTATTGGCGAGGCGAGGTGAGGCACGGCACGACACCACTCATTACTAGTTACTCATCACTCATCAATTTGTTTAGGACCACTTGTACATTATGAAACTAGCCAAATGAGCCACAAAACATTTTTTTTTTTAACCTGATCACCCACAAATGATGCAAAAATCGTACTGTTTACGAAAACAGATTTGTTAGCCATTAATCATGTGTTCATGTCGTATTTTGAGTTTTTTTTTTATTCTATAATTTGAACCAATTGTAAATAATTTTAAATACTTTATTTTCACTGGATTTAATTTTCGCTGAATTGAGTTTTTGGGAGTTTCAAAATAAAAATATAAAAGTATTTTACAGTATACTGCGAGTATTGATCCAAATGTTTGAAAATACGGAGGAAACAAGCAGCCTATACGTCGGCTCCAGTGTTTGGTCCAAAAATTACAAATATTCATGAGAAAATCTGGTTATAAGATCTGGTTAGCAGATTAAAGTCATTGATCGGAATTTTTTTTTTTTTAAATATGCATTCGATTTAAGTGAAGCTTAATCATATAACTCTACTTAACTGAAATGTTTTGCTTTATTATTAGATCGCGGAACAGGGTGCCAAGTATGTGGCCTTAAGAGCGGTTTACAAGCATATTGGTACGTCATCACATTCTGAATGTACAGATTCTATAAACAGTAAACAACAACTCATCTTAGAAAACAAAGCTCTCAAAGAAGATGTCAGAAAACTGAAAGAAGATAAAGACATTCTGGAAGACAAACTTTTAGCGCTGAAAGAAAAAAAATTCCTGTTGATGCGTCAGTGGAAAAAAACTCATCGGGAAATTCGCAATAGTGGTCGAAAGGTGCACAAACTTGAAGATCAAATCTCAATAATTCGCGAACTCTCGGCACAAAATATTGTTCTCTCTGATCACAAAGAACTGGAGGAAGATGTAAAGCAATCGGCAAGTGGTGTTAGATGCAGTATAATGTAAATCTGATTACATATACCTGCATATTTATCAAGAGTACAGTGCAATATTGAATGTTGCTGCTTATACCTGGTTGGAATTATGGCAAGTTGTATACAAAGTTGCAAATGCATCATACCCGCTCTGACAATCATTTTCGTGTAAGAATTAAAGTACGATTTTCAATATATTTATCTAAAAAAAAAACTAAAAAAATAAAAATCTTATTTTCTACTTATACTTTCTGTTAGGAAGAACATTTTGTATTATTTTATAAGAAGTTTATTTTTTTTATGCTTTATTTTTTTTTTCTATTGCCTATATTAGGAAGAGATTTATTTTCTAAACAAACTTCAAAAATAATCATATGAACTGCTGAAATATTTATTCAAATACATCAGCACAAATTGAATAAGTATAAAGAGAATTTTTGGATTGTTGTGTATAAAGTGATTACCATTCAACAATTATGTGGAGTATTTGTTGAGTATTTTGTAAATGGTAATCGGAATTAAATCTGTTTTTCAAAGCATTACAAACATAATTAGTTTCATTTGTTGCTCTGAAAAATATGGTATCTTTAAGTATACTTGCATATTCATTGGACTTAATTTTTTTATTAGTCTGAATTTGACCTACAGACACAATGTCCACAATTATACAGACATGCCATGAACTGCGCAGTCGGCTAGCTATACACATGGAGTATAACAAAAATATTTGCAATATAGTGGTCATAATGGGTATTCTCTAGTTGACTGTACACAAACTTCAAAATGAAGAGAGGCTAAAGCAACTTTAAAATCTTCTTCAATCAACCATTCAATATAAACTTTGAATGCAAAGTACATGCCTTCATTCACAATTCGGTTTTTCAATACAAAATGTTGTAGTTTTGACTATTTGAATGGTGACTTTGAGCCTAACTTGATTCCCAAGGAGAGGCAGGAACAAGAATTTCACATTTTTTTTTTTTTAAGTAACTCTCAGTTTCGCGCCTCTTCGGTTATTGCATAACCATGAACATATCTCCTTGCTATACATGTATAAATTGTGCTCTTTGGAAAGTCGGTTGACGAGCAGTAGTCGGTAAAGGCTTTTAGTAATCAATGACTAGATTGTTCATATTATAATGCTGGACATTGCTCTTAACAAACAAAAACATATTCAGTATAAACCAAAATTAGCATTCTGCTTATAAAAAACAAAATTTCTAGTCTAACTATTTTGATCAAGTTTATTTGTTACAACAGTACTGTTATCTTCTGTATAGTTGCAAGGGTTGGCGACCCTTAAAAAACAAAAAAAAAAGTAATCCTTTAACATAAAATAGTACCTGTCTATATAGACCATTGTAATGAAGTACCTTGGGTGGTCACTAATGCAAATCCACTTAAAAAGATTGTGCTCGACTGCCTACCAAACCCAGATAACTAATAGTCGTACCGAAGGCAGTTCAAGCGAGGGTCGTAAGGTCGGAGACACTGTTATAGTTTGCAAGACTCTCCTTGATATTAATAATGCATGCAGAGAATCACATAGAAAAATTTGAATATGGGCAGTACTAATCTTTATTAGGCCAGAGAACTGTCGACAGTCTAATGTCAACGTGGCATTTGACAACCATACAAGCCATCCACTATATTTTCTGACATCTTCAAAAAACAAATTCCACTGAAAAGTTTCACTTTTATAAATCTGTGAAAATGTGTAAAAAAAAAAAGCCAATTTTTAGTTAATTTTATCAATATTAATTTTGGTCATATTAATAAAGCTTAAAACTATGCTTGGGTTTAAGGGAAAAAACAAACTTGTATCATTGTACACTATGAACTCACGAGGGCAGTACACTAATGTTGTAAATGCTTCTGACTGCATCCAGAAGACTGCATTATTGAAGTAATTAAACAGAAAGTGCAAGTTTTCTTGGATGACTGCACACCTAGCTATACAGTTATGTAATGCTCAATCATTCATACAACACTAACTCTTGTGTTTATCTTCACAAGTGCCATAAAATCAACAAATTGTAACATTACTAGCAGTAAAACTGAAGTGGGTTTACAGTACTATAAGGTGATCATAAGGATACCTCAAAGTATGCACGAAGACAGTACAGCGCAGTATCGACAGACGCGCAGCAGAGGTTGGTGCAACTGCATACTGTCTGAGTGCGTACTTTGCAGTGTCTTCGTAATAACCTTATTATTTTACATCTTTTTCTTCCAAGGATACATCATGGGAATGCCGAAATTCAAAAAGTTTAGAACAGAACAGAATCTGCGAACTTCTTAGCGTGAAGTCCGGCCAAACCCTGATGCTGGTTTTTAATACTATTAGAAAATGCTTATGTACGTAATCGTTCCATATTTTGAATTCCCATTCTCTTGTATGGTAGAATGAAAATGCCCTGTAAAATACCGCAAAATTACGGCACACTGTAACTTGTAGTGTTATGGTGACAGATGTATAATAAAGTTTGTGATACTACTCAACTGTTTATGAAATGAGATTTAATCACAATCTGCATATGATGTAATGGTGGCATAGCTATACAAACAAGGAACAATATATAGAATAAACACACTAGCAAAAATAACTGTTTAACGTCAAGTACACTGAAAATTTGGTTTTCGCAAGCATGTCTTTTTAGCGAATTTAGAGAACTAATTCGCTAATTCAAGATGTCGCTAATGACTTTATTATAAATTTTAAATGGCCAAGGCTTGGAGGATTTGTATACAGTAATCCGGAACATAAAAATCTGGGGTGCTTCCTAATTACACTTGACAGTTTTTCTTTGTTTTTATGGAGGTGATAACTGGCATGCGACAGACAAGTATTGTGAAAAAAGGAAATCAACAATGACGAGAGATTTGCTAAATCAACATTTTGCTATTACAACATTTTACCACAATTCGCTAAAATTGCATGTCGCTTTTTCAACATGTTTTACAGTATACTTTTTGTATGTACAAAACGCACTGCCTGCTGACTCATCATTGTTGACTGCCTCTCCATTTATATTGGCCTTCGATAAAGGCTTTCAGTAAGCAATGTGTTTAATAGTGCCGTGTGAATAGGTCAACTATTTTAAGGTCATCTGCATAGAGGAGCCTGGTTTTCTATTAACATAACAATACATGGGAATACTGCCTTTACAAATGGCTGTATATATTCTACATGTTTATAGTGTCTTGATTTGAAGCCTATTGTGTTCTCACGGTGCGTGCATTTCAAATAAAACATGTGACTAGAAGAACACAAGCAGTTCGTGTGCACGTTGTCCACAAATCTTGTACACATCAAACCACCTTGCGTCATTCATCACATGCTCGTATTATTGTAGAAAAGAAAGAAGCCAAAGATTAAATCCATTTGACAGGTATGTTGCTTGAATGTAGCTTTGTGTTGTCCATTCGCTTCTTCATGTTGAATTTACTGTTAAAGTGATTCCATTGTCGGTTGAACTGACTGTTTATTTGACCTCGTAGTTTCACTATAGTAGGAGGAAGGGTACTTGTATGGTATAGGATTTGTTAGCGTTGCAGAATTATTGAAAATGTTCTTTTTTTACCCGTTTAATGAAACACAAACTTGTTTTCATCAGAAACCAAACTGTGATACTGCCATAGAAAAAGTTAATGTTTATATCATGGTTTTATGACAAATCTTGTGTTGCTTTAATTAGCTAATGATGGTTCTTTGCGGCTGGTGTGCAAGGCATCTCTTTGTATAATTTTACATCTGCGGGCATGGAAATTTGTGACCCTATACAGTCTCAATAAGCCAATATTTCAATCAAACATAAATTTATTTTCAACTACATACAATTTACATCTACAGAAATAAAATCTACATCAAGTGAACTATAAGACAGTTTAGTGTACATAAATGTATCGCTTTGTTGTCCCGCTTATTGTACAATTTGAGGTGATTTGCCCCCACAGTATATATCTGTTTACTCAGTTATTTTTAGTATATGGGTATAAAATAAACTAATACTGTGGAATACTTTATTTTCACTGGAATTAATTTTCGCCGAAAAGGCTTTTTGGGTGTTATGTATGGAATTTATTTTCACTGTTTTTTGATGAGTTTAATGTGAAATATAGGAAAAAAAGTATATTTGCTGGATTTTATTTTCACGGAATCATCCCTCCAGCAAAAATAGTGAAAATAAATTTAGATTTTTTCTCCCAGGATAAAAAAGGATGCATCAAATGAAACTTCATACATTCAACAGGTGTCTGTGAGGGGCAACATCAATAGTTCAATGTAGGATAAAAAACTTAGATCCTTTAGTTCCCCCCCCCCCCCCCACTGAAACCTAATTGATAAATATTGATCAGACTACATTAACCATTAAATACAAATTGATAATCGGACAGTAGTATGGCATAGCAGTTCACTTGACGCACATATTTACACTCGGACCAAATCATTTTCTCGTCTTGAATGTTTTTGTTTTTTTCATTTTCTGTTATTTTTGTCCATGATTGGATAGAAAAAAAAAGTTGTTTTTTTTGACTTCATTAAAAAATAAAATCGTTTTTGTAGGATGGAAATTTGTTTAGGTCACCTCCCCCCAAACTAAAGCAAATAAGTTATTTATCGATCTTTTGACGTCTTCCCTAACCAAATTATTATTACAATTCAACTCAATAAACATTTTTTTTTCAGCTTCTATATAAATTTCAAAATTGATTCTATATATATTATTTCTAAATTATTCTAATTTAAAAACCGAGCAGGCTGATACATGTTTGTAGTGTTTACAAACCTTGATAATGAATAGACTTTGTACAGATATCAGTGACAATGTTTAAACTGTAGGTTTAATGTCAAAGTTGATTATTATAATGACCTGTTCCTAAATTTGGTTATTAAGAACTAAATTCTTTCATAGGAAACCTTGGGCACTGAGTAAAAGTCATTTGGACTATATAACTTGGGATAAATATAGTTTTTCTGAAAATTTATTGAAGGAAAAGATTCTTCAGTTACTCGTTGTATGATAAATAATACTTTTTGTTTCATAAATATTGTGTAGACAATAAATTTTACATGCATTCATATTTCATATTGGGACCCATTTTAGAGACTACTGAGATGGGCAGTAAATAAACACATATCGAGCAATTAGGAACTGCAGTGGAATGTATTATGCTTTAAAAAAAATTATTTTCATCTAAATTATTAAAACCATAAAATGCAAAATAGGATTGACCATGCCATAAAATACCTGTAGAATTACGCAACATACCTATAAGGTTAACCACATGCTGTCTTCAAATTATTGGAATTTAGAAACATTTGTAGGAATCTTTCATAAAAACCCAGTGTTTTTATGAGGCAATCAAACCCTACTCATTAATGAAGTTTAACCCTTACACCTATTAATAATCGTACAAGCATCTTATGGTGAACATGTAATGTTTTGACTTGGACATTTTCTTTCTTTTTTATGAGACAGCCATTGTTATCAGGGGGTGCTGGGCACATGGTAAAAATGACAATAAGGAAATTGTATGAATAAATAAATTTATTTCACCATAAGGGATTGGTCAGTTACTTCGGCCTAGGGGGGGTCGGCAGATTCCATTTTGCCAGCTGTAAATCTCAGTTGACCCACCCCCTATCAAAAAAAAAAAGTGGGTGACCCCCCCAACATTATATATATTAAAACATGCTGACACCCCCCCAAAAAACAAAAAAACAAACAAAGAAACATTAACAGTTCTGGCTCTGACATGATTACAAAATGTATGATGTGCATTGAAAATATCATGGTTTGCCATAATTTTGACATAATATTTAGCGTTTGTATTTAATAGACCTTAGGAGGGGAGGGGAAGCATAAAGCCAAAAAATGATTACAGAAAAGGCTGTAGGAAGGGAGGGAAATCTGTGCTGCTAAAGATAGTAAATAAAGCAAAGCTGTGGAGTACTCACTCGATAAACGCCCTTATAAGATGGGAAAAGAGGATTTATTTTTTGCAACAACAAATTTATAGGCAATATAGGTAATAGTTATTATTAAGAACACATTTGTACGATTAACTTTTTCATCGTTTGTTCTGAAATAAAATTTTTAAAAATATATGCATGAGCGTGTGTGTGAATTCTGGAAAACATGGTGACCCCCCTATTAATGATATCAAAAACAGGGTGACCCCCCCATATTCGCACAATCAAAAACAATATTTACAAGATATCAGAGTATATTTAGGATTGGTCAGTTACTTCGGCCTAAGGGGGGGGGTGTCGGTGGATCAGTAGGGGGGGTTACCATGTATTAGACATTAACATTTAATACTTTCTGATAAAATATATGTAACAAATAATACAGTTTTATTACATTGTTTCAAATTTGTGCCGTACGCGAGCGCCGGTTCGAGTCACGCACGCAGTACGTATTTACTATAATTAGACGTAGTCTTTACCTTGCCGTTTATTCGGTGTTATTTGCTTAAAGTGAATATAAATGTTCAATACAATTTAAGTGTAATCTACAAGTATGGACTGATACATTATTCCCAAGCTGCCACCCCTACTTTAGAGTGGAATGTGCCACATGCATTTTATACCCATACACTGCCGGATATTACAATGCAAACATGGTAACACATCATGAATACTTAACGATTCCAGCGAGGACGATTCACACTTGACTGTACAATGACCTGCCTTGTCTACAGCGAAGATAAATAGAGTACATGACCCTCCCCCAAATCATCAGCATTCTACCCAGACATGTGTAGACGTCTTTGATGATACGGTACGGGAAATTGCCAGGTATACCCTTACAGTAATTTAGTAAGTATAAACTATAAAATTATTGGTCCTGTTTATAAATGGATATTCTTAATGGGTGGAGTGTTAATACGGATGTAATTCACCACGTATTAGTTTAATTCAGTGAGAAATCGACAAGTACACGTATATAATGATTCACCACACCCACAGAGTGAACTGAATATCCACATTTTCTGTAGAAAATAAAGTCAAAATCGTGGCATTATTTTAATTATTTGATACACAATGTGAAAGCTAGTAATCGTTTTCAAATTCTAATGGTCGTGCTGAACACTCTGAATAGGTATTTAGAATAGCAATTACCAAATATCACTTACGGTAGTACTGTTGAATAGTTTATTTTCACTGAAAGGATGGTACAGTGAAAATAAAATCCAGCGAATACCCTTTTTTATATATTTTACAGTCAACTCATTAAAAATCAGTGAAAATAAACTCAATACAAAACACCCAAAATATATTTTCAGTGAAAATTAATTCTAGCTAAAATAAGGTATTTTACAGTATTTTGTGATATTGTATCCAATTGTCTCATCCGTATTAATATCACTTTAATTAATTGCTCATTAATTATTCAAATCTTGCTGTTTCTGAGACATGTGATTCAAATCAATTAATGTACCCTTATCACTATATGAGAGGACAATAGAGTGGCTGACTCACTCTTATACTGTGACTACAGTTACGACATTCCATTTTTTTTTTTTGCCTACAAAATTGCAAAAATGAATTATTATTGCGTACAAAAATGATTCAGAGCCGAGTTCTGTTGACGATGTATTATTTATTGAAATAATTTGTTATTCATTTATTAATATTCAGGCTGGGGCAATAAAAATTATGCTATTTATTCATAGCTGGCAATACACAATAAATGTATAGTACATTGCAACCATGCTTTCAACCATAGTCAAGTTTTGTCACCATTCAAAATATTAACCAACATTACTTTCTTCATATTTTTTTCTTCAAATTTTGCCCTTTTGATCCGAAGTTACTAAAAATGTAAAAAAAAAATACTACACCAACAATTTGGCAGGGACAATTGTAATGTGTTAGGCACTAAACATGGTTTCTCTATTTATTACATTGAAAATATTTAAGCTTCAATGAAAATACCTGAGTATCCATGCAATAGGTTTAACGCAATTTTCTTTTACTGTTCAAAGTTTAGAGTGACTAAAATTAATATGAATGGCATAGTTATGCAAATGTCTGTAAATGATATCGGCATTCCTGCTGTGCATATATGGGGTCATTTTTAATATATAAATACTGATTCAATAAACAGCACAGATGTGTGTCATATACCACATCTATATATACTCAAATATTAATAAGATGGTTAGTCTGAATCTAGCCACTGATTGGCTGAAGCAACTTAAGGTCTTATATCTGGCACTAGAAGACTTGTGATCCTACCACCAAATAAAATGGCAGTAAATCTAACTGAATCTAGATCACGACTGTGAGCACGGTTCATAGTGATTATAACCATGGCAACTGATCAAAACAGGGAAACCTGGTACAAGTACTAATATGAATTATTATTGCCAATGTTAACATGTTGCGCATTTTGTGATAAAACTCCATGTTAGAATGTATGCACTCATTATTGCAGAATAGCATGCTACCGGTAATCTAACATGTGATGTCATTGACGCATCCATTATTGCCACTCACTGGGTCTGTCATCTGTTTTATCCTCGAGGGCGGACATCCGGGCATTTTCACCGCCTGGCAACCCGCGGCGGTGAAAACAAAGGCCCAAAACTCGCATAAAACGGTACTTTGGGATGATTGTTGAGACTCCTCTGAACAGTGTAACAAGATTAGCCCTACGTGTGTAACATATATAAATTTGGTTGTTCGGGATTACTTCAAAGTTGAGTTTGTGTTGTTTTCTCGAATTTTCACCGGCTCGACCGGCGTTCCACAGCAGCGCACACAGAGCCCATAGAAATGCATGGTACAGTGGTGCGTGTCTTAGCAACATGGAACGTCTGTGACGTAGCTCCGCCCCGAGGATAAATCGACAAAAATGCAATCAATTGATTTTGTCATGCGCCTCATCATCCATCTATGCTTATGTTCTATGGAGAGTGTTTTAGCCCTGGAATTTGAATACAAGATTTAGAATGCAAACTATACGATGGGAGAATTTAGATCCCTTAAAATGTATTAGAATGCTAGTAAACTAAAACCAAACATCTATACGGAAATCAATATGTAATGCAATATAGTTAAAATCAGGTATTATGTTTTCAGAATTATCACATTATCTGAAAAACCATTGCTCTTGGTCACTCCTTATGATACGGTAGTATTAAAATCAAAGAAGACGTTGGGAGAATTGGAAATTTACACATAGCAACGTGATATAAACAGCTATTTTGCAGCAGGTTTCTTGTGTGTGCATGTTGTAATAAGGTTATAAACAGTAAGCTTGGGTACAAGACCTCTCTAGGAAAAATTATTTTGCAGGAGATAATCCCCTTGCTTGTCGTTTCTAGTCGTTAATTTCAATATTTAAATTCCCACTTTGTATTATATGCGAAACACCCTCCAACTGCATTATTGTGATCACCATAAATATCAGTTGTTATGGCAACAATTCCTGAAATATTGACGCACTGAATCCTAAACCTGTAAGTGTAATTTCTAAACACTAAATCAAATATAATTTTCCCTTTTTTGATTACTCAAGGGTAGTTTACTTTATTTTAGGAGCGTCTTGTTTGATAAGATTTCATGAAATATGCTAAGTATTTCTCGTATATTCATTGAGTATTAAAAATATTTGACATCCAAATTAAAAAGTGTTCCTGCAAAACTTTCATGTACATTGAGTATTAATTTGCATATCCCTACATGTCTGTTGGAATCTCCTGGGTATAATTCCAAGGATCTGTTATCTCTTGCATCTATCAAGATTTTTTTAAAGATCATACAAAGTGGAAATGTAAAAACTAAAAATCAGAATATTGTTATCGTATATGCTAGACTATATGGGAATGCTTAATTGTCTTGCATATGTACCAAGAGAACCCAATTGTTTGTCATGTCTGTGTCAACTTGCTATATTTCCTATAAATTGCAAGATATTAGAAAGCACTCCCAGTGAAATGAGACGAGAAATGAGAAGGTAAAAAACACATAAAGAAAAAAAAATAAATTAAAGATAGTATTGATATCTTAGTGTACCCATCATGCTTCCATAAACAAGCTAGTTCAACAAAATCGAAATAACATTTGTTGTATACTAGTTGTGTCATTAAAATATTCGTTATAACTCATGTAATTCACATATTAGCACATGCATTACTAATAGAGCAAATACGGTACTAGTGAATATACAGCATACAATGCATTTTAATAAACTGGATTTACCAGTACCGCTAAAGAATACTGTAGTGTTCATCATATGTAATACCGTGTCACCATATGTGGGTGACAGCTTTTAATAATAATTTTATATTGTGCTAGTATGAGTCACTTCATGAAAATTTATGTATATGTACACTAAATGCAATTAACATTTAGTGTACACAGGAAATTGTGTTACATAACTTCAAAGTACATGTAGTTGCCATGACGATGCATAGATAATTTCTGACAATCAAGCAGGGATGCATTAAAGGTATGAGCTGCATACTAATGTCACCTGATGTTTGAGGTCAGAGGTCAGAGGTCAGATTGAGCGTTTGAACATGCTGATACAGCAATTGACTAAATGTGGCCTAATTGCTTTGAAGGAATTAAAATACTCTTCTGAGAAGTTGATGCCTAAATTTGTATTATTATAAAGCATAACTCCTCTCACTGATTATTAAAGCGGGAGGGTCGTCACCTGTGCACAGGCAGGAATTGAGACCCAATCGACGATAACAACACACGCTGAAAACGCAAAGGCTCATGAGTAGAAACTTGTTTGTAAACAATAACGCGCTATGGCCATCTGACGCTTGCGCAGGTGATGGCTCCCCTGCTTTAAAATCACCATGAGAAATGATTTAATTACTTTGCCAGTAAAATTCAAGAAAATTTTAGATCATGTTTTTTTTTTATTGAAACCTGCGTCCAAGAATTTCAGTTTCATATACATGTATCATTACATGTATAGCTTGTAATAAAGTCTTCAGAAACGGCTGAGAAACAAATTAAGCAAACTGAATATTCCATATATTAAGTATGTCTTAAAACAATAATTGACAGCTAGGGGATTACTATTCAATAGCATGGGATTTCAATCTAAAAAAAAAAAGTTATCAGGGCTTTTTTTCCCTATGGTTTGGTCACAAATCCTAAAATATTGAAGCACTGAAGCTAGCCTGTACTTGACAGAAACAGAATTGTGTTGTCTAATCATGAAATCAAACATGATTTTCATTTCAAGGCCATTTTACATGATTTTAGTATGACTCATATATTCTTAGATTCCGCTGGATAAGATCTATAAAACAAGCAGCCTATCAGCTGAGATAGCTCTGCTGTTAGAAATGCACATTACAATTAAAGTACTGAAGATACCATTAGAAAATGAACAATATATATATAAAAAGCAACGGGCAAATCTGAAAGAAGTCCACACGTAGTACCTACATATGTAATATAAAAGCAATCAAACTTGCGGTTTTCAACAAGAAGTCGAAAATATCACTTTTTACCAAAAATGACAAAAATATTCACCAATATTAGAGAATTAAAGATATCATTACAAAATGAACAAATCTAAGAGAGGTCCACATGTAGTACCTATATATGTAATATCAAAGCAATTGGACTTACGATTTTTAACAAGAAGTCGAAAATATCACTTTTTACCAAAAATGACAAAAATATTCACCAAAATTAGAGAATTGAAGACAAAGTCGACAGCGGAGCTAAAAAATACAGGATACAACGCACAATAAGCATACTCAAAATTTCATGTACAGTAGTATGCATACTACCGGTACTAATAATTTTTTTCCAAATACAATGGAACACTGGTTTCAAGTATTACATCACTACTCAACAATTCTTGAAAGGGCCTCATTGTTGTATATGACATACAATGTAAGCAAAACAAATCAAATACAGATAAACTAAATAGACAGATAAGGTTATAGTGTGGTGCTACATATTTATTACATGTTTCAGTGGCAAAGAAAATAAAAACTAGGATGAGATGAACAACACCGATGATTAAAAGAATTGAAGATATCAAAATGAAATGAACAAATCTGAGAGAGGTCTCTGAGGTACTATTTATCAAAGTAATCAGACTTGTTTTCAAGAAGAAGTGAAAAATATCACTTTTTACCCAAAATGACAAGAAGACGTTGTCATGATATGAGCAAATCTGATAGAGGTCCAAAAAATTGCTTACATATAAGACTTCAATATGGCTAACGATTTTTAAGAGAATAATCAAAAATGTAAAGTTGACAAACAACAACAGACAATGATAAATATTAGCTTGACTTTTTTGACAGCAGAGCTGAATAATGGGATCAATATGAAACAGTGAGGTGGAACATTCCCCGGCAATTGTTGGTGAATTAAAAAAAAAAATATAAGTATTCTCGGGGCGGACATCCGGGCATTTTCACCACATGGCAACCATCACGGTGAAAACAAAGGCCGAAAACTCTCAGAATACGGTACTTTGGGATGATTGTTGAAACTCCCCTGAACAGTGTAACAAGATTACCCCTGCGTGTGTAACACATATAAATTTGATTTTTCAGGATTACTTCAAAGTTGAGTTTCTGTTGTTTTCTCAAATTTTCACAGCGTTCCTCAGTAGAGTGCGCAGAGCCCATAGAAATACGTAGTACAGTGGTGCGTGTCTTAGAAACGCGGAACGTCTTGTGACGTAGCTCCGCCCCGAGGATTCAGTTATGCAAATAAGGCATTTGTGTTCACCCAATCATGTCATTATTTTTTTTTTCTAGAAAACACTTTAAAATTCTGAAACAACAATATGGAGGATGTTGACGGTGAAAGCAGTGAATGGCTGGGTTTCAATGAGGCAGTGGATCGTGTGTTGGACGAGATGAAAGAAGAACATATGAAAAACACTGTAGTATTTCCCATGTTAAATAATGACCAGTTCATAGAACAATTAAAGAAGGACTATATCAATAAAGAACAGATAAAGATATCATTTGATGAAAGTGCTAGGAGTAAAATGAAAGGACCAGAGTCTCTGAAAGCTGGAATGTATGGAAAATATCCATCAAAGGTAAGGTAACATTGGAGAAGTTTTTTTTTTCTGGAAGTTTCCTATCTTTCTTGATATGAATGGAATCCACATTAGATTGAGGATTTATCTTGGGGATGTATTGAAACAAAATGTCACACAGTTTGAGATCACTGGAAATGTATGTAATGAGGCGGGCGGCATGATTCAGCTCCTACCATTGCTGATTTTGGTTAAAATAAAGCACTTGAATTTCTATCTATGTTGATGTGCAAAAATTCAATGTTATTGATCACAGCAAAATATTTATGATATTAGGCTAGACTTTTTATACACCTCGTTTCACGAGTTTTTATAAGGCAATTTTTTTAAGGAGGGTGGAAAAAATAAAATCATTTTTTTTTTTCCCATTTGATTTGTGTGATTCTCAAAGAATTGTAAGTGAGATCATTGATCAGAGAGAAGAAATGAAATAAAATTGTATTCCATGTATAACCTCA